TTTCCATTATTTTTTACTTTTGCTACAATATACACTGCACATGTTTTGGGGAAAATGCACGTTTTATTCACAATTTAATTTTCACAACACTAGCCACATTAATTTTTACACAAGGTGTAACTGTTTTTTTTTTTTGTGGCAAACACACTGCTCTTACAGCATATGCAAACACAAATGGTTAAATTTTGACAAGTCTTTGAAGGACCGGTACTTGCTTAGCCAGTGCTTTTTTTTTCTGCTTGGAAGTCCTGTCTCAAGGCTTGCAACTTGCCTTGGGCGTAGGTTTGAGTTGCTGCCTGGTTTGATTTATGCTTTTAATTGCTTAATTTTAATTATTAAATACAAAACTTTTTTTTAAAACTTCTTTATTGCTTAGTCTTGCTACGACTGGGGTAGATCTACTTGACACTTTTTCTGGTCAACCGGGGTGGAAAGAGGAATGCTAAATTTCTTTTTGGTTCTTAGACTTACTGCGGCTGAGAGTAGGCACACTTTCATACTTGCACACGTACGTCCAGACTGGCCATGTCTGGGTATAATGTTCAGAGAAGGTGCTGTGCAATCTTCAACTTGCTTCCTCTCTTGGGAGGGCAGTTCTTTTACACCCTGAGGTTTTTTGGGGCGTTTTTTTAGTGATTTTAGTCTAGGCCGGCTGCCTGTGGCTTTTTCAATGTCCTCAAACTACGCCGGCTCCAGGGTCGCAAAGGCAGACTGTTGGATCTCACTGGACAGTTAAGCTTTGCAAATGTAATTTTAGCACTGTAACTTGTATTGCTTTTGGTTTGACTATGTTTATATTTTTTTACAGTTAGCTGGGGCCAAAAGCAGGTTTTTTTGGTACTTAGCTTGGTTTGCATTGATTTTTGACTTTGAACGCAGATTAACTTTTTTTTTATTTTTGGACTAAGCTGAATTTTAAATTAACTTGTTTTTTTTTTTTTAAATAGACAAATTGCTCTCATTGTGTGTCAGAGGCTTTTTGGTGATTTAAAAGCTCTTTTGAGATGTATGATTTTATTTAGATTGAAGGTACTTTCTAGTGGGCATTGTTTAGATGAATTTTTACGCGTGTAATGATTCCAATTTTCTAAATACTTGCAGGTTTTAGTACCATAATGTACGTACATGAAATAAGCTGGGGTACCCTTAGTGGGTGAGAGGGAATCTTTAGACTGTCTTTTACTTATTTTTTAATTACACACACAGGGAGGAGGATGCCCTGTCCGCACTAGCGGCACATAAACTAAGGATCTCTTTTTACAGGGTATTCACACAGGAGAGACTAACGAGGATGGCCATGACCTTCCTACGCTTCTCTTCAGCAAAGAGCGTCGGCTAGTCTCAGAGAGACGGCGCCACTTTTTCTGTTGCATCCAGTGAGATGATCAGACTGTCAGTGGCTCACACGGAGAGGAAAAGGGGAGGGAAGATGGGTTCACACACTCCTAGACTCGGGTAGCCTCCTCGCCGGATGATGCCAGGCCGAGTTAGCCCGCCGTGGGTCGGATCTCCTAAAAGATTCTCTAGTTACCGGGCTTGCGTTAGAGTAGTTCTGGTCACAAGCCAAAAGACTTCGCAGAGTACTCTGGGCGTCTTCCGGTAACACTCAATTCACACTGGTGTGTACACACACACACCAAGGCCTTATTCTAGGTACTATTCAAGTACCTCCAGGTACTATTCCCAAGTACTTCGATGCATCACTTGAGGCAGTAAAAACTCCTCCTGAGGCGGTAACAACCCCTCAACACCGGTGCATACCTATGCACCTTGCATATGCATACAGGGGGCAGCAACAATTCCCCTAAGCCGCTCACCATCTGACCTTGCTGCACAGTCAATAAGTTCGGATGGCGTGAGCCCAACAGGGATAGACGGCCCCACGGACAGTCCTCTTTCGACACTCTAATAGAGATTTCAAAAGGTCTTCTACTTCTATTGTGGCGCCATGGGATTCGAAGGGGAACGATCCATAGCAGCTGCCGGTGCCTCTGCGGGCGTTGCCATCCCGGACGAGCCCCCAAATTGTCAGAGAAAAACAGAGTTCTCACACTTGTTTAGGTACAGCAAGTCAGATGCTTTAACTCTCACAATTGTGCAAAAAGAAAAAGCTAAGCAGGTCTCTCAACAAGTAAACAATTACAGCAAGCATTTATACCTTTTGTTACAGACAATGAGCAACAGTTTCATTTTGTTTATACATGGGTCATTCTGATATCTTGTTTTACTCACTAATGTAGACTCTTAGTCTACATTCCATATTATCTACACAAGGTTGCAACAACTTCTTACACAGTTCTTTCCCACTCGCCTCACACATTTCTCGCTTCTACAAATCTCACATTATTAGGGTTACAGTTAGCCTAACTCTTGCTAACGAACTGTCATGCATTGCATCCCCTTCCTGTCAGTTCTTTCTCTGCTTCCACAGTGTAAATGGATGAAAACCTTAATAACTTCAGCCAGGCTTGAATTTGGTCTCCACCCAGCATATGTGGTGTTCATGGTGGGTATTTAGTCACCCAGTTTTCCTTCTGGAAGGACTGCCTCTGCAGATTTGCCCTGGGTGGATCTGCAGAGGCCATATACCCAATGAACAACAGTTACCACTGAATAATCCATCGTTTGCATTAATGAAACTGATGTGGCTAAAGACCTACCCTACATAAGGGGACCAAACCCAGTCTTGGTGCAATCACAATGCAATTTGATAGCTGTCTTTTCTTTTGGGAGTTGAGTCTTGAAAACTGGTGATGCCATGTATTAGTTAATAATAAATTGATGCAGGTATTAATAATAAGCAGAACATTTTGCTCTCCAGATCAGAATTGTTGGTGGAGCAGGAAACAAGAGAATCTTGCACTGCTACCTGCTCTGTTCATAACTAGAGGACTTTGATCTCCAAGGACATCCTTTTCTAACAGCTAATTCGTTGTTTTATGGAGACTTGCATTTAATGGACATGTGAAATGCTGGTTACCCCTCTGTTAATTCCCACTAGCTCTTCCCCTAGTGATGATAAGGGTTGACATTTGTCATATATGTTAACGTCTTCCTCTGTTTTTGCATCCCTTTCGTGGAAGTTCAAGTTAAGGTAAGTCACGTCATCAGCTGGTGGAGAAGACTGCAAAGCAAGAGGAAAATGAGTGAAGACTGTTCGTTCCTTTCTGCTTTGCAAGGTCTGAAGTAAATGGTTAGCGATGCCCATACCATACTATTATAATGCTAGACCATCTTCCACTGACACAGGCACTGTAAAAGAGTATGCTGACTTTTTAGGAAGCTGTATTCTGATTATGAAACACCTCTAAAGTTCATGGAGCAAATGCTGCATTCTCCAGTATTTTGAGGTTTCCCAGTCCCACTGCCTAGAACCAATGCTGCATTCTCTATTATCGCTAACGATCCTGTGCAATGACTAATTTATGTCTCTTTATCTTTGCTCCAAAGCTAATTCTTGATCCCCTCTAACTTTTAAATGTGGTACCACCCCGATCCTATCCAGGACTAGTGCTGCGTTTTCTGTTACCCTGAAGTTCTTGGAGCTGCAGTCTGTAAAAGCAGAACCAATTTCTTTATTACCTTGTATTCCTGGAGTTGATGCTCCACACCCAGTTCCCCTATGCTAGAGAGAAAAATTAAATGCGGCTCTTATGATAAGCTCTCCAACTCACCGTCTCCATCTGATTCATCTCTGCCTCTGACCTGCTTTGAAGTGGTTCTGGAAAAAAAATGAAGTCGTGGCCAAGCTGGTTATTCTCTGATGACCTTTGGGTCACTTAACTGAAGGAGTTAGTTGTCAGTCTCGTTAGTTCATAATGGAGCAGTATCTACAGCCCACACATTCCCACCCGAGCAATTGCCAATAATTGGTGACTTTGTTGGCAATCCAGCCAAAGGTGGAATAGACGTGGAAACTGAATCCACCTTTCACAGCTTGAGGTGCTTCCTCAGGTCAGGGAGGAGACATAGAATAGTCCTACCATTGCCCAGGTGGTATCTGTGCTTAGGTATGAGACTTCACTAACTAGGGCTGCCAGTTCACCACTGCTGCTGTATGTTCACTGACAAAAATTCCCCAAATTACTCTTTATTCAGCTAAAGGAAGAACACGAAGAAGACTCTATCGGCATCCTATGAGCTCCCCTCATACAGAACTTGCTTACATTTATTATCCAAGTAAATCTTACCTTTGGAGCACTGTCTCCATCTCCACAAAAGGATACCGAACACCAGCAAGAAGAGAAGTGTCCCAGCCACAGCTCCAGGAACAATGTAAGAGCTCATTAGCCTTTGGTCAGGTGCTGTTGAAAGAAATGTTAATTAGCTGCTGTCCTACTAGATGGGGCTACAGAGGCAGGGCAAGTTGAGTTAGTGCATTCTCATCACCACTCTTTCTAGGGAAAGACAAGATAGTTTGGGTCATGCATTACCACCTCTACAGGAGTCCTGCTGGATAGGGGCAGGGGATGACGCTGTGAGCTAGGTCACTAGACTACCACCACCCAAGGAGTCCCGTGGCAGAACAGCCGAAAGAGAAAAGGCAAACTGGGTCGCTGCTCCACCACTACTGGAAGAATGATAACCGACACCAACCTGGTGGATTCATTTGTCAGAAGATGGTATTTGAAATGGGCTAATCAGTTAGGATAAAGTAAGGAGTAGCTTACATCCTCACCCAGAATCAAACTGGAACCTATGCTGAGGTTCAGCAAGATTTCCCTCATTTTAAAAAAAAAGACCATATTCCACAGGTATGGTCCAAAACACTGCAGCTTACAATAGCGCTACTGCAGTGAGTGGGTTTTTAGGGGTGTCCTCTAGAGACCTCTAGTTTTTGTCCAAGACTGAAAGCAGAATCAGCAATATACCGAGAGGCATTTCCATCCCACTCAAAATTGGGAAATACTGGAAATCTTCTTACAAGAGAGCCTGTCATGATGAAACTGACTGTTCAATACGGGCGAGAAGAGCTTCTGAACCTGGAGGTGTTTCTCCGAACCTCTGAACCCTTTGTGATTCACCCATCACCGAGTGGCTCAGAGAATTCTGGTGGGCAGCAATGCTGTGCTGCTGTGCAAGGGACATCAGGAAAAGGGGATGGGGGTTGCAAGTACTTGGATGACCAAAAAAAAGATGGGCAGGATCTGGAAAGCCACCGGGAATCACTGACTTCTCAGTGCAAATCTCTCCATAGCTTTGCCTTCTCCTTCTGTTTGCCAGCAACTCCTGTCCCATCAATATCCCCCCATGCAAAGTATTAGCATTAGCTCTTCCTTTCCTAGTCCTTATTCTTCCCTAGGAAATACAGTGAAGATCTGAGAGGTCAATGCTGCTATTTACCATGGATGGTCACTCTGGTTCCATTTCCACCGCCATTTTTACCAAAGTCACATCTGTAAATGGCTGTTGACTGGGGATGTATTAAAATAAATGTCTCCCCCTCCAGTATTTTGTGTTCTTTTCCCAGCCTGGCCATTTAACATCTCCTGCTTATCAGAGGTTAAAGTGATGCTTTCACTTAGTTCCATTCATAGCTTTATGATGCATGGCAAGACCAGCAAACCATCCCCCCACCCTCCCGAATGTTCAGTCTGGAGAAGTTGCCTCTTGCAATATGGATCCTTATGGGAACCGGATCTGACATAAGAAGCAGCCCCAGGTTTCACCCATCTACAAATCAGACATGAATTCATGTCTAACTACCCTGTTATCGCTCACAAATTCCAGATTCCAGGCACGCAGGCAGGCTTTGACCGTACCAATGGGTGTGCATGCAACATTGGCAAGCATACGTTTAGAGACTAATTTGAGGCCATGTGAAACATTTGGCTGTAAAGGATCTAAAATGGAAACATTGTTCCCCCTTAATACCGTCCTGCAGGGCTCTATCTTGCAAGGAGTTTAGTGCTTCTGGGCAAGCGTGGCGCACCCTCAGCTCCCATTGAAGGTGGAAATGAAGACACTCAACACCTTCCAGGAAACGTGTGTTCTTGTTCTCACTCGCTCACCCCCACTTCCCCAAGAAGATCAGGTAGGAAATTCTGGCACTTACTCTCGATGGTCACTTGGGTTCCTGTTCCATTCCCAGAGAGGTTCCTTGCTGTGATTCCCCACCTCACACACGTAGGTTCCTGTATCAGATGAATTTGCATTCTTCAAAGTGAGGCAAACCCATTGTCCAAATGCAGGGTTGTGATCACATCGCTCTCATTCACCAGCTCTTTCTTTAGTCTCTCATTCCCATAGTTATACCATCGCACATACATGGTGCTGTGGTTGACTGTCTCAAATGTACAAGGTAAGTTCTGAGCCTTCTAAATCACTGACACTGGTTGGGGCTGCTGAGGGTTGTTCTTTGGCTGTAGGCATAGAGACTTCTCAGGTATTCTTAGAGGTCGATCGTGACTCTGAGTCTGAGAGATGGAGGATAATGAACTCAGATTCTTTGGGTCCTGAACTCCCTGTGGGGGGATATACCCAGACCCTATGGGTAGGCCTCTGGATGAGGCTAACGAGAAACGTGGAGTAGAGGTGGCAGATTGGCTTCCTGACCTTAATCCATTTTTGTTGTTTGCTCAGTATAGGATGAGACATGTCCCTGTCTGAGTTTGACAGATGGAAGCAGTATAGATTGAAAACACTGATGACCAAAGTGCATATCTCTTTGACCAATGGAAATGCTGGGAATTAAAGGATATAGGAGAATGTGGTGGTTTTGTTTGAGGTTTCAGGACGGTGGGGGAGGGGGGGTTCGGTCTGTCTTTTTCTTGCTTTTTCTGGTGAGTACTGGTCTGATGGATAATTTTTGTATGCAGCTCTCTGAATGTGAATGGGTGCAGAGACATTTAAAAAAATGTATGGCTCTTTCTGAGTACCTATCCCAGAAAAAGGGGGACATTTCATTTTTTCAAGAGACTCACACAGAGGCTGGCAATCAAACAAATGTCTTGTTGACTGGAGAGGGGAGATGTTTCTGAGTATATGGTTGCACAAGCACAGGGGTCGCCATTCTGTTTGCGGATAGGGTGAAGCCTGATTCGATGGCTGTGCAGGAAGTTGTTCCAGGCTGTTTGATGGTTTGAGCTACTTTAGAGCAATCTCCTCTTTTTTCTGATTCATGTCTATTCTCCTACTGTAGGGAAAGACCGGGTGTATTTTTTTCCAGAGCTTGGATGCTCTTTTGACAAATTGTTGGACAAGTGATATTTAATTTTGGGGGGTGATTTTGATTTTACTCTTAATGAGAGATTAGGTAGGAATCATCTGGAACCACATCCATTGAGTGCTCAGGGATTCTCTAGGGCCTGTTTGGACCATTTTTCTGTTTTTACTCATCACTTGTCTCATTTGCTGTCTAGTTATATTGTCCCTACTGGGATTTCAGATCATGGTTTGGTCTTATTTGTGTTGTCTCTTCCTTCTTTACCAGACCACTGTCCATACTTACATTTTAACACTCGTCTTTTATGAGATGTGCACTTTTAGCAGCCTGGATTGCCTCAAAGAATGTTTTCCCTCCTTGTGGCAATGGTCGGAGGTGGGTAAAGTTAATATTTAAATGTTTTTGTCAGCAAAACATGAAGCAGACAACCCTGGGCCTTTGCCGGAGTATGGAGGAGTTTGAGTTGAGGATCATGGAACTGGGAAAAGCCTTTCATGGCAGTAATGATGCTGGGTTGCATGAGAGTTTGAAATATAAAAACCAGCTCTTGTGAGACCTGTTTGATAGCAAAAGTTCAGGGTGCACTGGTAAGGAGCCCGATTTCAGGGCCTATCCCAAATGGAAGCACCTACTCAGTTTTTCTTCAGTCTGGAAAAGGAACATGTGGAGCAGAAGATGATTGGCCACCTCAAGACGTCAATAGGGAGAGAGCTTTCAGAAACTGGGATTAGGAATTTTGCTGTGAATTTTTTCTCAGGCCTGTATGCAGCAGAGCCAGTGTGTCTATGTGAGACTTGATGGTTCCTTAGAGCTCTTCCTAGGATCTCAATGTTGGATGTAGACAGACTTGAGCACAACGTGATACTCTCATAATTGACTTCTGCCCTAAATGGCTTTGCTCCAGGGAAGGCCCCTGGTATTGATGGTTTGCTGGTTGAGTTGTATAAGGCCTTTTGGATCCTTCTTGGGCCTGACTTACTCCAGGTGTTTCAGGAGAGCATCAAAAAGAAGATACTGCCACTCAGTTCTCATCGAGTGGTTCTTACCCTGTTGCCTAAGAAGGGGGACCTTGGGGAGGTGGAATAATTGTGGACCTGTTTGGTCTAAGCAAAGCAGGGACAAAAAATTTTTCAAAGGCCTTCACAAAAAAAAAAATGGAAAACTGTGATTGGTTTGGTCATGCACCCTTATCAGACCTATTGCATCCCCAGCACATCCATTTTTAATAACCTTTTCCTATTGCCAGATGTAATTTCAGCCTCTAAAATGTATGATTTGCACATTGGGTTGATTTCCCTTGATCAAGAGAAGGCTTTTGATCATGTAGATTATGGATATTTATTTCGTATCCTTTGTGCTTTTGGTTTTGGGCCCACATTAGTCTCCTGCATTCAGGTACTGTAAAACCTCAGAATTATAAACACCCGAGTTATGAACTGACCGCCAACCACATACCTCCTTTGGAACCGGAAGTACGCAATCAGGCAGCTAATTTTAGATGGGTCTCATGGATATCTTGGCTGCCAAACTCAGTTTTCATTCCGTTCACTGGGTTCTCAGTTTTTATCAGAGGTGGAATCTGCCCTTTCTAGAGGTGGTATTGCCTATCTGTTAGGTGCCTCCTTGAGCGAGCCGTTCCTGATTATACTAATGTTTCTAAACTCTGCTTATAGGATAGCGAGAGTGTTTCAACAATTCTTTAGCACAGATTTTACCAGTGGAAACCTGAGTACCTCCAGGGATAGTTGGCAACTGAGCAGGAGTTTTGAGGATCACAGTGGCACCTAACAGATGGACTAGGGCCTAAATCCGTTTGTGGATGTAGCCTTTAATCTGTCTCACTTCCCAACCTACTGTT